TTGTCGAAAGCCTTCTCCGCATCTATTGAAATGATTATGTGGTTTTTATTCTTCTGTCGGTTGATGTGATGGATTACATTAACTGATTTTCTGATGTTGAACCATCCTTGAGAGCACCTGTGTTTTAGGAGCTGCCGGTGCCGTGGTGGGGGGGGGATGTTGGGGAGGAGGGAGGAGGAACAACTGAATAGGGACCTGTGGACTCTAGGAAACAGCAGACATGGCTAGCTGGTGTCTGGGGGCTCTTCATTCCCCAGTGGTTTAGCTTTGAAGGTGTGCATCCACATTCTTATGAACTCGGTATCTTTGGACACACACGAAATGAAGGAAGCCTCAACCAGCCCATTTCACATGGGCGTCTTTTGTTTGATTGGTTTTTTTTGTTGTTATTGTCCTTCTTTTGTTCTTTTTTCAAACCTGGAAAGTTATTTTACTTTGAATATGATTTTCTTCTCTAGCAAATATCCTCAGCCTTGTATTCATTTGCCGGGCGAGCTGTAACAAATACCACAGCCTGGGTGCCTTCAAAAACAGAAATTTATTTCTCCCTATTCTAGAGGTTGGAAGTCTAAAATCAAAGTGTTGTTGCCATTCCACAGAGAACAACTAGTTATTTCACCAGCAAAATGGATTATTCAGATACAACAACAAAAAGACAATTTGAAAAGTGTAATCTCCTGGCAAGACACCTGTATGCCTTCCTTAAGAACTAAAGCCCGCACCAACTTACCTAAGTTTTACAGGGGCTGTTGTAACAGTTTATTAGAGGAAACTGGGAGTTTGATGTGAGATGACTGCTCATCTGCTGACACATGGTGTTCTCCCATTGGCTGAGATGTCTGTTGCTGGGTGAAGGGAACTGCTTCTTCCTTAGGCTGGGTTAGGGAAGCAGCATCACTTCCCATAGGAGATGCAAGGCCTGCTGGGTTTCGTAGTTTGCTGCGTGTACAAATGAAATCTCATTTCAATAGAATGATGTATATTCTGTATCTTGTTGGCACATCGCTCTCCTGAGGCCTCTCGCTTTGGCTTGTAGATGAATGTTTTCCCTCCATGTCCCCACATGGCCATCCCTCTGTGCACAGTGACCTCTTCTCTCCTGAGCACACCAGTCATAATGGGTCCACAGGACCTCATTTAATTTAGTCATCTACGTAAAGATCCTGTCTCCAAATATGGTCACGTTCTCAAATCTGGGGTTAGGACTTGAACACACAGGGCTTTTTTTTTTTTTTTTTAATTTTACAAAAGTTTATTTTTACATCATTTTGTACATTTTTTTTCCCCATCTCAATTGTAATCCCCGCGGGTTTCCCATCACACAGGGCTTTTTTAGAGGACAATTCAGATCACTGAGCTTAAGACTCATGAAAAATTTCTTCTCTAAATTCTTCCTGCCACCACACCAGTTAGGGGAGCAGGAGAAAGCAGACATAGCTTAAGAAATGATAACCAATCATCAGTGATAACAAAAATGTTCAAGCCAGTGAAAGTAAGAGGGATGGCAGACAATATGGTGTTTTAGGTTATTTTAGATATTAAGGCTATCGAATGCCTTAATGGCAGTCACAGTTGTTTTATGTTCTTGGATGAGGTTGCTAGGAAATTTTAGCCAAAGACTACTGTTCCATGAATTTGTGCATCCAAAGCCAACATTATGCTCAGCACCTGCTCACCAGACTCTGGCTGGGAAACTTACCCAATTTATTTAATAAAAAGCTAAAATGCAACTGAGCATCACCAGTGCTGAATGCCTTTGAGCTGCAATTGGGGTTTGGATCAAAACACCAACGCTCTGCCTTTGGCAAATATCCACTAATTCTCTTAGTTCGTTTACACAATCATATGAACCACAGCAGGCTCATTTGGTGGTAATCTGAATGTAATAGGCAATTTTACAGCCAGTCTTCATTATAATTTAGCATCAATTAATGTGCAATTATAACCTGTTACCAAAAAATTGAAAGCACATTAGAGAGATGGAAATTGCCTTTTCAGTTTTTAGTTTATGGCTGGTTTTGGGATGTTTTATTGAATGGAGCAAGTGCCAAAAGAGTACTTTTAATTGTTAATGAAATGTTTATCTTTCTTTGTTCCCCTGTGGATTCCTACATTTGAACAGGGTTAATAAGAACGACATTAAGTGAACCTACAAACCTTAGTAACATCCCATGGGCGAGCTCAGCGCCTCAGGTGTCCTCTGCTCCATCTTCAAAGCAGTATATGCCGCTTCTCCTTTCTCACACTGAGACAACTCCAAAGGGAGTTTTTCTTCTTTTCATTTGTTTCTATATAGGAAGTGATGAGCTCTATGTTCTTATTTCAATCTACTTTTAGGCCCTGAGGTACAAACCGCACGTTTTCTGGGAATATGTGTATCATCTGTTTGCTGGAATTCTACCCTTTCTGCCAAGCTACCCCAGAGCTGCACATCTGCACCATCTTATTGTAAACTCAGATACGTGTCTGCTTAGTACTGGCTTAGCAGCAGTGACTTCAGCATTCCATGAAGTCCATAAAAGAAACAAGTGACAAATATTCTTAATAATGGTCACTTAGGGGGCATTTTATAGTTGACAAATCGCTTGCCCATTTGATTTTCACAATGATCCTGGAAACTAGAGAATCTTCACTCACTAGCAAATTGAAGCCTAGAGACGTTCATGGAAATGCCCACATCACACAGCTAGTCAATGTCTATCAAATGAGACCAAGCTGGAGTGTGGAGTTTTCTGTCTCCAAATGCCATGTCCTTGCAATTGTCAATTGTCTGTTGTTTGATTGTTTTGCAGAAGTTACTGTTAGTGGTAGTGACTGTCCACATGTGACAGCTGTTGTCCTTTCATAGTTGATTCAGAAAATCAGGTGGGGAAAAAAATAAACTCAGGAGTTTGATTTCCACGGAATAGCTCTGTGAATCTCAGGAAGTAAATTTAATCCTTCAGTCCAGTTTTTATGATTATTTCTATCAGCCTTGCAGTGTTCTAAGAACTAAGAGAATAAAATTGGCTACCCATGTAAGTACAAACCAGAACTCCTGACACTTGGCCCATTTGCAAAGTGCTCTAGTGTCTGTGCCATAGGTGATATGAGTGTTCTTTGGCACATAAAGAGAGCACTTTGACTCCTATGTTCTTTTTGCCCTAAAAGTTACTCCTCCCTTCTAGGTCTTCCTAGCAGAGTTCAAGAAAACCAATCAATTTTTTGCAATAAAAGCCCTAAAGAAAGACGTGGTTCTGATGGATGACGATGTGGAATGTACCATGGTAGAGAAGAGAGTCCTGTCCTTGGCCTGGGAGCATCCGTTCTTAACGCACATGTTCTGCACTTTCCAGACCAAGGTATGGCTGCTCTCCACCTGCCTGTGAGCTGTTCCAGCTTGTGCCCCAGGGCTGCCTCTGGGTAAATCCGGGATATTGTTCCCCTTCTTCACCTTATCTTTCAGTCCACCTTCCACTCACCTAAAGGACGTCCTTTTCCCCTAAACACCACTGACATATTATTTGAAATGGGAAAGGGCGTTACTTTCATGTTTGTCTGCTTGTTTTCTAGAATCTGGTTTAACTTACCTAAGGATGAGATTCTTAGTAGTAGCTTGTGATTTGCTTTTGTTACAAAAGCAGTGCTTTGTAAAAAGGCAAAATCTGACAACTGTTTGTTCCTCTGTCATACTTGTAAATTAAGAGACAGGTTGGAAAATAGATGAAAACATGTGTACACTGTCATTTGCCTGTGAGAGGCAGCCCTCACAGTGGTAAGGCCCTGAGCAGTGAGGAAAGGTGGTTTTTGTCAGAAGCCTCTCCTACCCTGAGAGGATTCTCATCCTGGTTTCCTTTGCCCTTAAATTTTGTTTTTGCCTTTTTGTCCCCCCTGGCTCAGAAGTTACTCAGTATCACTCTAGAAAGTCTGGAATATGTGTGTGCACACTATTTGCTCAAAGAAGAAAATAATTTCCAATCCAGCACTTTGGTGAATACATTGATGTTTATCCTATAGCTATTTCAGTCCTGTGGATTTTTAAAAATAAAATAACCACCCATGGTACTTGCCTAAGATTCTAGAATCTGTTTTTAACAGCCTGTCAGACATTTCTTCACACCTGTGGATGTTCTACATCACTTATCTGATGAGAACTTTTCTTATTTTTGTTCTGAAATATCACTAACATGAATATCCTTGTGGGTGCATCTTTATGCACAACATGACTTTCTCTTGCCACATTTCTACTCTCCACCACCTTACCCCTGTGGTCTCAGAGAGTAACCCCTGTGGAATCACATGGTTAAGGTCCAAAGAGAATCAACAGACATTGCTCTTGTTCTAGTTCAAGCCCTGATGATAATGCACCACTTAGTGTAAGTGTAAGTCACAGAGGGGTCTATAAGCTGACATCAGTCCCAGAAAGTCTTAATGGGGAGACAGGGGAAATGAGTTAGAAATGTAGGTGGCACCCAACGTTTTCATCACCTTTTCTCCAGCTCCTAGTCGATGCTCAACAGATTGTTTAAGGGAGGGACAAATGAACTTAAACATGTAGCCAAAATGCCCACAACTAGGTCATGAAAAAGCACTTTGACGCGTATTGTACTCAAAGCACCATGGAGGATTCAGAAATACAAAATATAGCTCCTAACCTAGAGAATGTCATACGCTAATGAAAGGGGCAAGAGTGATCCTTCCGACAGTGATGTGTGCTGTTAAATTGCAAACACAGACTCTAAATGTGAGAGCTAAAAGAAATCAGAATTTGAATCTGAGTCAGCAGGAAGGTTCTAGGGCCATGGAGGTGTGGGGGGACAAGAGAGCCTGAAGTGTGAAGGGGAATGGTAAGTTCTTTAAGAGAAAGGAGGCTTATTTTCTGTAAAGGAAAGGAATGTGAATTTCTAATGAATTAATAGCAATTTTCTTCTGCAAATACCCCTGGGGGAGGCACAGACTGTTTACCCAAAGGCTGTGTGAGGAACTCAGCCTCATGCCAGTTTGGGTCTAGGTTTGCTGGACCCCCTGGAGTACATATCTACTTTTCCCCTCAGAATGTTCTCAGCCTTGTGTCAGACTACTAAGCACCCCTCAGACCAGGCCACTAGGAGCGTGTCACCAAGTTTCTTCAGCACCTTTCCCCTGCTGTTTTTATATTACGATTATTTTCCTACCCCATAGGGAAGGCTGTTAGCATGCCTGCTTTGTAGAAGCAGGTGTGTTCCCTTCTCTGCTTGTCTATCAGCACCTCTACCAGCATCTGCTTCATCCCCCCTCTCCAGGGAAGCTCTTCAGGCTCCAAGCAGATGTGATACTTTCCTGAGACTAGAGAAATAGCCTGAGAACAAGTAGCAGGGATAGTGGACAGCAAATGTTAAAATGATTGGCTCACTACTTAGAGATTAAGGAATTATTAAGTCCCTTAAAATTAAGAGATGAAAAAGAAAAGATTATATTATCACTTTCCCAAGGGTACTGCATAAATCAAATCCTGTTTGATTTATGAAACAAAATAATCAATTAAATCCCAGATATTTAAGGGAATAATCTATATGAATGATTATCTGCTCCGGGAACATTTTGGAAATAGCCTTTCTTGAGAAAGATATTAGGAATTAGGAAGATATTAAATAAGATAAATGAACTATTTGGTTTTCTAGGGAATTTTTTTTTTCCAGAACATTATTCACTTGCTTTATGCCTCCAAAGAGGCTACCTACTGAATGCTAGCTGATTCCAGAGACTGTAAGGACAAATTACTTACTTATTACTTTTCAGGGCATGTGGCTTAACACATTAAAATGCTTGTAATATGAGGAACATGTGACCCATAGACATAAAAACATGGAAAAGTCAATTAGGAAGCTATCCAGAGTGAAAGAGCTGTGGGCTTGAATCTGAGGAAGCTGGGTCCAGCTCAACCTTTCATCAGCAGGGCTCTGAAACTCCTTGATCCCCTGCAAGGACCAAGAAAGGAAGAATCCCCATGCAGGAGGAGGGTCAGAAGGCAGGTGCATATGTGAAAGCAGCATGTGAGACACAAGGTGTGCAAAACAGTCTCACCTGAATCTGGGCCTGAGCCTGAATGAGGATTAAAAAAAGCATCATTGAAATAAACTTTCTCTGTGCTAGATCAAGATAACACTGGCCTCCGATGTATTTATACCATGTAGCATGACATAGCATAGTGCCATGTCATCTCTGTAGGAACTAACTGTTCACCTGCAGGGAAGAAAAAGTACGGAGAAAAATAACTTCCTTTTAAATTATGCTAGCTAGCATACAAGAAAGAGCCATGATTCCACTATACAAAGTTTCTCTGATCCATCAGTGATAACAGTATGAAAAATAAGAAGGTTCCATAATTAGTTTGGAAAAAAGAAAAAGATGCATCTAACACATTGACTGTACTGTTTGCTTTGCTTTTTAAGGAGATAAGTCTTCCTTAGAAATTGAAAGTGAATGACAGTCTACCTTCACGTGTCTCTCACTTGAATTCCTAAGGCCTGTGTTCCAACAATTTAAGACATTTTACAATTTCACACCTGAAAGAAGTTCTGGATGTCAGGAGCACACCTCTGGGTTCCTCCTCAGCTTGGTGCAAGTGAAGGCGCTGTGAATGTGAGAGGCTCTCTCCAGAATGATTAGGATGTCTTGCAAACACTCACACCACTGCCCTATAATTCCACACCTCCAGTCTGAACTAGCTGAGCAGTATTATTTAGAAATTTCTCTTTTATGGGAAAAAAAAAAGTGAGTTTCACTTTCCCTTCATTGAGCAGGCTTCACTTCCGGACCAAGATGACACCTCTGTTTATGTTTCCAGGTTACGACTTTAAAGTCTGGCACTCAGATGACTTTCAACGAGTCACTTTTTTTTTTTTTTTTTTGTGGCCAAAGGGAGGAGGGAAAAAATATATAGTTTTTGCAGAGAAGTTTAAATCCTTTGTGAAGAAAATGTCACCCTAACAATAAGGTATCATTATTTGCAATAGAATAAAAACTCCTCCAACTTATAAAAATTATGTCCTTCTGGTATTGCCAGGGTTGAAGGCACAGCCATCTAAGATTACCATAAGGTTCTTAATTTCAAATACTGTGTTCCAAAATCACCTTACCTAATGCTCTGAAAAACACTTTAATCCTAAACCCTCCAGTTGAGTCAGGAGCACCCGTCATTGGCACAGTTTTAACCAGGAAAAGAAAAACCACAGAAACCACATGCTCAAAAAGACTTATCATGAACTGAGACAAGAATTAACTTTCTGTGCCGTCACCATTTGTAGCAACTGATAAAACTCTCTTCTTTAAGGAACATCACTGAAGTGTATTTAGGGCATATCACTGTGCCCTTAACTGTGATTCAGCACATGTTGGAATTACAGGAAATTTACCAAAATTAGTAAAACTTAGTCGTGACTCTGTTACCCTGTGCCATCCATACTTTATTTATAATGTTTAAGCCCGAAACCTTAGGTCTAGGTAAAAGAAAGAAGATGGCATCTTATTTATACCAAAAAAATTACTCTAAGTTTCAGTACCAGAACCACAAAGAGCAACACTCAGTTGAACCTACCTAAGTTAAGCTTATCTGAACCTCTTTGAAACTGAGATGTTGACGAGAGTGCAAGGGTCTAGCAATTCATGTACTTTGAGCAAGTTACTCTTCAGTTGCCTAAATCTGAACATATATAAAAACTCCCTTGGCAAAAACTGAGAATCTATGCCATGTAAACATGAAATGAGAGACAAACTCCCGGGAGGTAGGGGGATCACTTATTATTAAATAAAACTCCTTACTATTTTCCCTAATTTATAAAAATAATTATATCAAACATACTTTCAAAATTGGAAAATACTCAAAAGTATTAGAAAAAAATCATTTCTAGTGATCTCGTTCAGAAGCACTTCGAGGTAGGACTTTTGAGTATTTCCTTAAATATTTTGGCATCCTTTTTCTTTTTAAAGGTGATACTTTAATAGCCTTAAAAGCTTTAGCCAAGTAGAACATTTTCAAATGATCAAAACTATATTTCTTAAAAATCTCTCTTTCATGTTAAAGTTCAATCCATTCCTGAGACCTTTCTGTTTTTTTAGACTAAATCTCTCTCTGCATTTTATGCATCTATGATGCATCTGATAACGGTGTCACAAACAGAGTAGCTGACATTTACAAAGTGCCCCCCTCTGTGCCTGTCCTGGCACCTTGGTGGTTTTAGGTACAGCACACATTTAGCTCATTTGATCTTCACAGCAACCCAATGAGACAGACGTGGTTATTATCCCATTTTATAGACAGGACGTTGCAAAGCCCTAAGAGAGTGAGCAAGGCCACCAGAGGCCAAACAACTTTGAAAGGGAG